ACTCTTTATATATATATATATATATATATATATATATATATATATATATATATATATTTCTATTATCGACTTAAGTTTATAAATAATTGTTCAACGTTGTGTCTCATTTTTAATAAATTTTAAATTTTAATTATAGAGAATGTATTAAAGAATATGAATAACAACCTTCTCATGTATGATCGAGGAGCAACATATGTCCGTGTTTTTGGTTTTGTGTTATGTAAAGATTAATCAGGGCTGTGTACACACGGTGGTTCTAAATGTCACCCAGGATTAAGTATTAAATGTAGGAGATGTTTTAGTTTTTACACTTCTCGTTTTCTGTTGTTGTGGCAGGCAATACCAGTTCATGTAAAGATCACATAGAACGCTCTCAAGATAATGACTCTGAAAATGTTTCCGACTTCAGATTGCATTTTTCGGCCAAGAGTGCCCCCAACAGCATATTCTCCAGCCCTGTTACTAGTCCACGTAGATCCAGCAATGTAGATTTCTATGATCCTTCCATCATTTTTCATCAAGATTTTAATGACATTTTGAGAGTGTCACCGGTTAAAACTGCTCAGAGTCCAGACCGGACTCCTCTGCGCAGCTCAGGGAACCTCCTCAATCCAGAGGGAAGTCAGAGTCAGCTTCATAAACATAGCTCAAGAGTGTTGCCTGAAAATAATCATGTTGATGCACATCCACTGCCCCTTCCTCCTAGAGCGTCACCACCACCAGCACAGTCATCTCCCCAGCATCAACCAAGTATCGTGCACCTCACCGTAGATAATTCGCCTTCAATGAAAGGTCAATGGCAGAAAGGAAAACTTATAGGGCGGGGATCATATGGATCTGTTTATCACGCAACCAACTTGTATGTCCTTCATCTTTACTTTCGTTGCCTTCATGGGAGCTTTTAAATTGTCGTCAGGATAAAATCATGATTTCATCTGTTATGGAAAATTGCTGATAAATGCAATGAAAGAGGCTGCAACTGCGGTCACAGAAACCCCAAAAGCCTCGATTTTTGTATGACTGTGGACTGTATTTTAAAACCTTGCTGTTATCTGGTTTACACTTTACCTTCCCGTAGATACTCACGTGCATTCCTGTTGCGTCACAGAGAGACTGGAGCCTCGTGTGCAATGAAGGAGGTGGAAATGTTCCCTGATGATCCTAAATCTGCTGACTGCATAAAGCAACTCGAACAGGTTCTCCCCCAACGTGTTTTAATTATACATTTTCAAATAGGCTGGTGTTGAGCCTGTTGTTCTGAATGGTCTCATGTTTCAGGAAATTAGAATTCTCCGTCAATTACACCATCCCAACATTGTGCAGTACTATGGAAGTGAATTAGTGAGTTACTATTGCCTCTTGTTTTAACTTTTTAACTTTGTTGCTGCCAATAACATGAAATTTGTGAAATATCTTGGTTTTCAGGATGGCGATCGACTGTACATATATATGGAGTATGTTCATCCTGGATCACTTGATAAGTTTATGCATGACCATTGTGGAGCTATGACAGAATCTGTAGTTCGCAACTTCACAAGACATATTCTCTCTGGATTGGCATACTTGCATAGTACCAAGACTATTCACAGGTAACAACTTTTGGTGACGAATTATTTTACCTCGTTCTAGTTCTCTAAATGTTGTATCTCTATGTACTATATACCAACAACATCTGATGAACTAGTTGATTCCAGCTAAAATCGTATCTCACACAAAAAAAAAAGTTCTTATGGAATTTGTTCTTGATATGGTAAAAGTTTATTTTCTTAATTTTTATTTTCTTAATTTTATTTTTGGTGTTTATACTGATGATCAACTTAATTAAGTACTTATTTAATAAACTTTTCTCACATGAGGTCATATACCATATAGTGGTGAAACTTACTGGAATAAGCAAAAAATTTAATAAATTAACCCCAAGAAACTAATTAAAGTAAGTTAAAAAGAACTTATGCGGGTCTTACATAAGTTTAGATAAGCTCTTCCTGATTGCTATTGCCGTTCTTGATTCTGTAGGGATATCAAAGGTGCAAACTTGTTGGTCGATGCAACGGGCATGGTTAAACTTGCGGATTTCGGGGTTTCAAAAATTGTGAGTTTTGAAATTTTGATCTTCTGTTACTTTTATTTAAGTATAGACTATTCGTGTGTATCATCTGATTATTTTCTCATTTACAAGTGTTAACGTGACACAATGAGTTTATCAGTTATCTTTGATGGCAGTAATACTTATTTTGTTTTATTAGTTTCCTTTTCTGCTGGTCTAGTAATTTGAACAATCTGCTCCTTTCAGCTGACAGAGAAATCATATGAACTTTCATTGAAGGGTAGTCCCTACTGGATGGCTCCCGAGGTAATTTATTACTTATATTATCTATGGAGATTTAGATGGGTAATGAGTAATGACATGCCACTTTTTTTTGTAATTTGTTGATAAAGCTCATGAAGGCTGCCATAAAGAAAGAATCCAGTCCTGACGTTGCCATGGCCATTGATATATGGAGCTTAGGGTGCACTATCATCGAAATGCTGACAGGAAAACCTCCTTGGAGGGAATACGAAGGGGTTAGCACCTTATATGAACTCATTTTAGAGGATTGCACATGTTAATTTGTTGTTTAATTTACGAAGATCAATAATCCCTCTATACCCCTTATTCAAAAGAAATACTAATGCTATGCACTACATTCTGCTTGGATTTTTTTTGTCCTTTTTGCAGGGGAGTTCTTTTTCGATTTTCGGAATCTTAAAATCACAAGTTTAAAATGATCTTTTCAAAATACATTCTCTGGAAACTAACATTCACACCAACTATTTTAATAACGTTTCTCATTAAAATATGTCCATGGTGGAGGGAAAATTCATGATACGCGTATGTGAAAGTTTTAGGCATATGAAACATTGCCTATCTCTTCGAGAGATATTTTAGGCATGCCAAAATCACCTATAGCTTTCCTAGACCAGGAAAACCTGATTCCTAAGTACCCCTTTAAATTGAACCATGTACCGTTTCTGTTGTTCTAAGTGTTAATTTATGGCTAAGCAAAGCATTTGAATATCCTGGCATTCTTGATATTCCTATTCATGGCATTGGTATACTTGTGTTTGGTTACCATGAGAATTTAGTGACCTGGTTATTTTCTGTGCACTAGCCGCAAGCCATGTTCAAGGTACTGCACAAATCCCCAAAAATACCAGAAAATTTGTCATCAGATGGACAGGATTTCCTTCAGCAGTGCTTCAGAAGGAATCCGGCAGATCGACCATCGGCAGCACTGCTTCTTACTCATGCCTTTGTACAAAATTTGCACGATCAAGATGCTCTTCTTCATTCACAAGGCCAAAGCTGTCCCAGAGGAGACCCTGGATCTGGAGTAAGTGCTAATTATATCCGAACTCCCTAATAATCTACCTATGTCAAGGTCGTCCAAGGAGATCGATCGATCATTATGAATTATAAACCAACCACTTCTTTGAGTTTCTAGGGGTTGAGCTGCCGATATGGTAGAATAGATTTTGGTACGATCTAGAATCTCAGTGGTTCTACCCAATATTTGCATAAGATGCAGTTGGATTTTTCAATTACCAAAAAGAAAGTTAATAAACAAAACAGTTATAAAGAGATTTATCCGGACTGAAATCATTATAGTCTCATATCATATAATAACTTTTCCGATCTAAGACATGGTTTGCTTATTAGTTGGCCTAATGTTTTTTCTCTGCAGGATGATTCAAGTAGACATAGTCCCGCTAACAGTTCAAGAAGTAATAACCGGGGAGTGCCAGCCTCCATTGGCGCACGGTTTTTGCATAAAATTCAAAATTTAATAGGGTATGTTTTTGGTAATATGCTCTTGGTATTTGACAGTATGATAAATGTTAAATTTGGTAAAATGCTCCCTGATACCTCTTTGGCATAATTCTCTTTGTTGTTTTTGTATTTGACAGTGACACTTCGAAAAAATATGACAGCGAGGAATCTGATCATGTCACTTCTTCTCGTAACTCTCCCTGCTCAATGACAGAAATAAACAGTCCTCAATCTAGTGCCCTCAATTACATGGCCAATTCCAGCAACATACCCCTCACCACCGTTATGAGAATCATCAGGCACATTTGAAGCCTGTCACAGCTAAGATTTGATTGAAAGTTAGAAGGACAACTATTATATATATATATATATATATATATATATATATATATATATATATATATAATTAGAAGCTAGGGGTCCTCTGTGATATTGAAAACATATCAAGCAGGTTTGGTAAAAGCAATGGGAAGTTCACATTCCTTGGAAGTTGCTATTGTGTATATAATGACTAGATTAGGTTAGTTGAACCAATTCCCACGCGTGAAATTCATATGTAAATTTAATTTATTAATAATATTTCCGGAATAACTCTTTTTTTGGTTTTACATTTAAGAACAATTTGCTTTAAATACTTCCCAGACCTTTATCATTGCTTGTACATGTGAGTACTGTTTTATTATTAAAAGTTCTTTGTTTTATTATTAAAAGCGCTCTATGTTAGACGCTAATTTTCTTAAATTTGTACACAAATCTTTCTTTTATTTTTAAAAAATTATTTGTAACATTTTAACATTACAAATGCACTCTGTTCAATTTAAAATATTAAACTTACATCCGTTAATAAGGTGATTGTTATAATGATAAAATAGTATAAGCGTAATTTGAGAACATAATCTAACAGTAATATCTTTCTTTATAAGATTTTTTTAACTAATTTATACCTTTCAAGAAAATTAGTTAAAAATAATAAATTCATTTTAAAATTATTCTTACACATTTAAAGCTAAAGTGCGAAGTTCTTGATAAAATTTTAGTTTTATATTCTCAAATTCGATTAAAAGAATTTTTTATTTTAAATATTTAATTAAAGATATTTCAAAAAATAGTTAATACATTATTCAATTATGAAAAGTCTCGTCAAGAAAGAAAAACAATTTTCTGAAAAGGGTTTTATGAATACTCAAGATTCATATGGACTGAAGATTTACTCTACATTGGCCCATTGGTAACGCAAACCCAATTGATACCCGTGTTCTCCCCGGCGTTAGTCACGTCCGCCATTATCATTTGAAATCTATGTTTGATTTCGATCTCCACACTCTTCACTTTCCTTTCTTTCTTTCATTTTCTTCTTTTATTGTTCTTCTTCTTGCTGCCCACCAATCGGAGCAAAGTGAGTGCCCATGAAAGTTGGCCACTGATTCAACAGATAAAAATGGGTGCAGAGTCACAAATTCCACGAAGCTTAATCCACAGAATCTACGCTCCCTTGGCTAACGAATTTCATTTTGCACCACCGGTCTCTTCATCCAGAACAAATGAACTCGAACTTGTATGTTTCTCTCTTTCTCTCTTATAGTCATCCTCGATTCCACTCTTGAATTCAATTTGCATCCTCATTTAATAAATGCGGCAATTCAACTATGTTTCTGCATCTAATTGTTAAATTGACGAAAGGTTCGAGGTGTTCTACGAATGCTGCAAGGGTTTTCTGGTCCCCTGTTCTCTTGGGATAAAAGTGCAAACAGTTTCCGTGCAAAGAGCGGTGTTTACGTCAGCCATCTCTCACAGAAAAGTCTCCTCTCTATTCTCAACCAGTTTATCCACGCCGCTACGTGTCTCCAATCCGTGGCGATTACACTCGATAAAATTGAATCTGCAGTGCCAAAGTCTCCCCCTACTCTGAACGCGTTCGCGTCCTCTGCTTCAGCGTGCCTTCAGGTTTCTTTCTATTGCTTATAGGATATGATCCAACTTTGTACGCGCTATTCTCTCTAGAATTTTCTCTGCTCTGTTTTTAAATCAGGTTTGCTTGGTGTTGCGTAGCGGTTACGAAATCTTGCCTTGAAGGAGGAAACGTCCTCGAGCAATGCAGAGGGAATAACCACTCCAACCTTGTTAGGATTGACCAATTCCTTATCGAGGTTTTTGCTTTCTTTAAAATCTAAACTACAGCAGAGTTATGATTATGTTTGTATGCAGACTAGTTGGTTTCCAACTATTCGTGTATTGGCTTGTTAGAATTTGATTTTAGGAAAGTCAGTTTTTACATTTGGAATTTTCTCAAATTGTTCTTTTTGAAATGCATCTCTTGAAATGTAGGTTGTTTTGGTCATTGTGAGTTTGTGATAGTATCTAATGGTCCTTTGCTGAATTCAGTCTTTGCTCAGGGGCTGAATTTCTATTTCAGGTAGTGCATGAGGCCATTCCTGCTGTATACTTTGAGTTTGGTGTGTCTGTACCAGCAGCAGAACTCACTGTTCACGTGCTTGACTATCTTCATAAGAAGCTTGATGAAATGTGTCTGGTACAAGGTGGTGAGGTCGTGACTAATGTTTTGTGCTGTACATCATGTATTTTCTGAACATTGTTCTTGGTTCAGGATGATAAACTTTAGAATCTATCCTAATCACAGGAGGAAGCTAACCAGATGATGCTTTATATGTATGTTGGAAGCTTGTTGCCGTATATTGAGGGTCTTGATTCCTGGCTTTTTGAAGGAATTCTTGATGATCCTTTTGGTGAGGTAATGGTTATTGAAATTCTCATTCTTCTGGGAGAAAGAAGTTCTTTCTAATGTTGTGCCAAAGAGTGTTATGGAAATAACTCATGTTATCTTGTTTATCTTTAACTTAGAAATACAATGAGTTTTCCGTTGGTGCAAGAATTGCTAATGAATGTCTTTCTGTCCTCTTGCACTCTTCAAGTCATCAAGTGGTTATGATGGATTTTCTTTGCCTGTCACTCACTTAATCTTTAGGCACAAAAAGAAAAAATCAGCCTAAAGCTCCCTCCTGATTGCACTATTGCAAGCTTTTCCAAGTATGAAATAAGTTAATCTAAACATATACTAAAATATTGCATTGATTGTGCCATTTCCCTTTTCAGATGTTCTTTTTCACTAATAAAGAAGTCTCAGTTGATGAGGCTGAGTTCTGGGAGAAGAGTTATTTATTAAGAATACTACAGCATAGCAAGTTAAGTTCAGAATTCTCTTCCACAAATTATGGCAATGATTCAACCACAGCATCAGATGACAAGGAAATGGACAGGAGGGATTCCATCTCTTTGTCTGGTACAATCAAAGGAAAAGAACCAAACATTAGAGACCGTCCAGCTTGTCCCTTTTTTATTAACGACTTAGCCAAATCAATAATTTCTGCTGGAAAATCTTTGCAGCTTATGCGCTATGTACCTAATTCCTCAGTGAATTGTAGCAAAGAAAGTAATTATGAGGTTGAAAGTGCCAAATGTTTAAACTATGGTTTATATCCTACTCAGAGAATGGCTGGGCTAACCTTGCCGGAAATTTTTTCTGTATCACTAGTTGGACTTCTTGGTCATGGTGACCATGTCTGTAAGTACTTTTGGCAAGAGAACTGGTACGATATTGTAACTGTTTCTTTGCATGCATCGTATGTAAATGAGGAAAAAATAGATAACGACAATAGTGACAAATTAACTGCTCCACCTTATTCAGAGAAGACTTGGTATAAGTTCTTGATTGATACATTATTTCAGAAAAGATCAGCTGACTTAAAGCTAAAATATGAACACATAAATAATGACACATTAGAGCTGAGAGGGGCTAAAGTTATTGAAGATGAAGTGCTTCTCTTGGGGTCATACATGGAAAATCCAGTTATAACAGTATGTCGAGAAAATCTCGGAAAGAATGGGAATGCCTTGAAAGCATTGAATTTATCTCGAAAATTCAGCTTGCCTTCATTAAATGATGAGAGTTTAAGAAGAGCTATATTTGGTGCAGAAAGTACTGGATTTTCTGATAGTGAAGGAACAAACTATACTTTTGGCTTTCACTTTGGTGAATCTGAATACCTTCATTCACAGGATGACAGAAAGCTGTTAGAAATGTTATTTCCTTTTCCCACTATTTTACCTCCATTTCAGGTATTTATACTCGGTAGTCTGAGTAGCTTTAGATTAGGATGCAGTACTTTGGTATATTGAACAGATATTTGATTTGAAAACAGGACGAGGTTCCTGTGTCAGAGCTCTTACCTTTCCAGAAAAACAGCAGTCTTATTTCTAGAGTTCTTCGATGGATGCAAAGTGACCTAAGAACTACTCCGCTTCCTCTTGTTATTATGCAGTACTGTCTAACCGTCTACATTCAGAAACAGGTGGATTGAATTAAATCATTTGTCATTCAAGATTTAAGAGTATAACAATATATAATTGCTATATTTTTAATAGGACAGGTGGATTATATTGGAGTGAATATGCTGTTAAAGTTGATGAATGAATGGAGATTGATGGATGAGCTCGCAGTGTTGAGAGCTATATATTTGTTAGGTTCAGGTATTTGCGTATCATTTAAATTGTTCTCATACTTTTTTTATATAATATATTGTTCTTGAATTTGTATTTTATCACATTAAGCAGGATTGGTGTGGAGTCACCTAGGTTTCTTTGTTTCCTGTGCTGATTTGTTTCTTGAGCAGGTGATTTGCTGCAACACTTTTTGACCGTAATTTTCAATAAGTTAGACAAGGGCGAAGCATGGGATGATGATTTTGAATTAAACACAATATTGCAGGTAAATTTACTTGATTTTATTAAATTTAGAGTTCATCTAACTTGCCGCGATCTATTATTAAAGTTAGACTAGGATATTGGTTAGATTCTAATTTATTACATTAATTTATGTTTTGAATTTGTGGAATGGGTTTTCATTTAAATGCTTGATAAGTGACAGAATTTGTAAGATCTCTGGCTAATTCATTCTACAAAGAGGACCTTAGCACCCTATCTATGTGTGACTAATTTCATGATATGGGGTTTTTTAATGACTGTATCTGTTCCTCAAGCATTGTTTATTTGTCTATAGATATAAATCAGAAATTCTTCTGATTTTTTGACTTTATTTGTTATAACCATATAAACTTCCTTGCATGGTATCTACTGGTTTCGAATTTATTGCAGTGCCATCATTTCTAATTCTAGATTCCAATTCTACCTACCATACAGGAATTGAACCACTGTAAAAACCATTCTCATCTGTAATGGTTTTATTGTGGAGTTTTTGTATAAAGCCCATTTTGTTATTGGTATTTTTGAGGTATATTGAATCAATGGAAAAATGATTGGACATGAAGTTGTCTCACAAAACATCAAACTAAATGCTTTGAACAAAAATGGTCGGGCTGTTAAATCATGACTTCTACCTCCTATATTGGTTTGGCAAATTGGTAGTGAATAAAGGATAGAGTTCATGAGATATGGCTATTGTATATACATGCCATGATAAATTAAGGAATCTTTATATGGCTTCTTTTTTTATACTATTTTTTGTTCATAATCTATCTATGCTTATCAACTACAGGAATCAATCAGAAATTCTTCTGATTGTATGCTGTTAAGT